GATGAAAAGTAAAAGGAAAAGTTTAGCTCATATTAACAAAAAAAAACAGTTAACAGTTTAACACGTCCTAATCGACCAGTATTCCGTCAAATGTGAGAATAATAATACTGCGGAAAAAACAATAAATTGCATCATAATTCTTCAAGGGTTATTGTATTTTACAAAACGTTTAGCCACTAATTTCGACTATTAAATGATGAATGTATGTTTTTTATCAAATTATTGAGTTCCGATGTGCGTTTTAGTCCAGCCAAATACCGTTTCCCTCTTAACCTTACTTTATTTGTTTTCCCATTTATTACCACCTGTGTAAATTTCATTAAGACTAAATTATTTCGTGTTGCTGGCCTATGCAGAACTTTCTAGTTAAGAGATTAAAGCTAGGTCATGCAGATACGGACTATGAAATTAATAATTGTNNNATAATTGTTCCTTTCACATTGTTGAAATAAAAACTTAGAGTAAAAGTATTATGGTAATTATATAAGTCTTCATCGTATGTTCAAATGTTATATCTATGTGTACTGAGTAGGTCGATCTCGAAGATCTGTTGTCTGAGCATAGACGACGGCGACGGCTGAATAACCGAGTAAGTATATATTGATATCGTACGCAGTATCTATCGAGTATAATACTCTCCTTCTACGTACATTCAGATTATCCTCATTTTTACCTGTTGGTTAAGGTTGCTCTCAGCCCATTAATCAATTATTCATTGATCAAACAAATTTGTATCGCAATGTAAAGAAACCAAAGTGAGCAGTCACACAGATGCAAACCGACTACTATGCAAACCGACTTGGGGGGCCAAAATACAAAGATTAAATTCACCTCGCAGATGTGCAAGGTTATTGATTCTTTAGGCTGAAACTGGAACATGCTGTTATCATTTTGCGTATACTTTCGAATACTTCCTACATTTTTGTCTTGTTGATGGTTTGACGGAGATAGAAAACGCTCAATCAAAAGCAACCTGTTGAGATGTTTTGCATCTGCGATGTGTGATCAAAAGTGAAAAGCAACTTGCGTCAAACAAGGGTGCAACACCCGGAGGATTATGGCGATGTATGCTGCCAAAAAAGGTTTTCGCGCACTCTTAGGCTAGCGAACGGTAAATTTTGAATACAATAGGTATATGGTGGTTTTCTGTTATCCAAGGTGATGATGGGCAGTATTTAAACCAGTCGATCGATATGTATTTCTTCAGCTTCGTCAAGTTTATAATTTGTCGAGTCAGCATTTTACGTGAAACTTACATTCAAGTACAATATATCTTATTCCAAGTAGCGCTACCACTCCCTGACCGTCGGAGAAGCAATTTTAGTAAGAAATTACATGAGAGTAATGGGTGATTTTTTTTACAATAGGAATGTTTTCAATCAAGTCATAACCATGGAGGCTACTGTTGTGATGCACAAAGTGAGATAACTGCATTAAGCTCACAAATGTTAGTTCTGCTATGCGTTTATAAAGGAAATGATAAACTCAATGAGTATTTCCATCGTGACATTAGGAAAACACTGTAGCAACCAAATTTGTTTTCGATAACTTCCTACTCGAGTTAATATAGTTACATACAGGGTTCAAAGTTGTCAAACTAGCGTAATAGTCTGATATGATGAATATGATTGGTTGATTGTGATCTCATTGTGGTTTGGAAATGAAAGGGCATGGTTTTTTCATTACCAAATCCATTATCACAAGATCACAATCAACCAATCAAATTCATCACATCAAACCACTACACTAGTTTGGCCATTCTGAACCCTATGTATGACTGTATAACTGTATTAGCCCTAGGGGGAAGTTATCGAAAATGATGCTCAGTTTGATCATTTTTGTGGTGGCAGCATGAGTAGTATGCTTCCGGCGAGGTCCCGGTTTCAATCCCCGGTTGAGTCGATGGATTCACACTGCTG